AGTTGCTTATGCATAATAGTAGTACCGTAATGATTATTATAAGCTATAGTTTCAATATCGGTAAATAAATGAATTTTTAAAACTACAGTAATCCCTACTATAACGCGGTACCCTTACCTATAACTTGTTTTCATATTACGCGATTTCAATGCCCCGTATAACACGGGCATTCCCTCATATAACGCGGAGATTTGTACAGTACATAATTAACTTCGCGTACCTTTGCACATGTGTATACGGGGTATACGGAAATACCACTATAACGCAGAACCAACCTACCGCGTTATAGGGGGTATTACCGTAATTAAGAATCTTTAGGATTTTTTTTTTAATGTCTTTGCAGAAGATTTTTGAAGACTATAGTGATCCAGTGGTTACCAGTGAAGGCTCTTTTACGTGGACGCCGACAAAACCAACCATTTTTTCCACTTGAGATGACAGAAATTTTTTTATATATGTAAAAAACAAACATTTTGAAATAGAAAAATTACATGATTAAAAGAGATATCCATTTATAAGAGCATCCGCTTTACCACTCTATAAATATATTTCATATTTATTTTACAAAAAATAAAAAAACATTTTAATCTTCATATATTTATTCTTCTTAAACTATAGTAACATATTGAGAATCAAATACATTTTTAGTATATGAAAAATACTTTCAATTCGTTTGCTTTGCAATTTAAAATTAGGTTTATGACAATTACAGAAATGTTTCTTATGTGATTGAAAATTATTTGTGATAAATCACAAAATGTGAAATGTAATTTAATCTAATTTTATTAGTGAATTAAATGGGTAAAATAAGAAAAGAAACTATTTTAAAAGAAAATGTGATTCAAATGTAGAATGAAGGAAGGTGCAAGCGCAGCATCGTTGTTTATACAGGTATTTACAACATCACATCGTATTACAGTAATGGTGTTTTTTGGAGTGAATAATAGTGTAATTATAATTTGTCCATTATTATATACGTTCTGCGACATCTTCATATATATATATATTGTTACAATGAGGAATAGTAGTTATTTTAAGATTATATTTTAAAATTATTTTAAATTTGTTTGTAATAAAACATATCACTTTCAGTGTTGTTAAAGCTATAAGGTGTTGTTATTTTAGTTTATATTATATGAATTAAGAGTTATTGTTAGTGATATTATCATCCTGTTTTTCTGAAACAACTGAAATATCTTTAATAGTAGATTTATCAGTTTTAACACGATCATCAGAATGAGTCTTATCAACATATGTCAAAGATTTGTTATTTATATCCTTTCCTCTTTCTTTATTTAATGGATTATTTTTAACCAATTTGTTATCATTTCTAAAAGGGTTAATATGAGGATTAATTTGATTAACCTTATTTGCATTTATTATATCTTCTTGATGCAATTCGTTACTAACATTTGCAGCTTTATTGGCATTATTATTAGCATGTCCATGAATATCTATATCATTTGTGTGAATATTTTGAAATTTTTCCTGGTTTGCTATGGTTTCCTTATATTTGCCTCCATATATTTCTATACCGTTTTCATTAACAGCAACATTAATTTCACCTTCATTTAAATTTTGCTTTTCACTCTGAAGGCTACCATCATCTTGAATATAAGTATCATTATGAAACAGGTGTTCTGGTAAATCACACCCATCGTAAGCGTCATTATCCAGGCAATAGGAAATATATGAACGCCATGAACGATCATACATTAGCAAATGAGGATTTCCAAATACAATAAGCAAGTAACGTGCACGAGATATAGCTACATTCATACGTTTTGAGCATCTAACAAATCCTAAGGAATGTCGAATATCGCCAGCGACCATTCGTGAACTTGAACGAACAGTTGATATTAAAATGATATCTCTTTCCTGTAAATAAAAGATATATATTGTATTATATATTGTTTTTAGATTAGTTTGTTAGTAATTACCTGTCCTTGAAACTCTTCAACTGAACCAATTTTAGGCATGGATATCTCTGCGCTAAGAAAGATATTTCTTAAATGCTTGACTTGCTTTGCATATGGTGTTATGATGCCAATTCGGTCTGGTTGTATATTCATACGATATAAACGTAAACAACGAAAGAATATCTGAAAAGAAATGATAAATCAAATCGATGAAAAAATATTTTAATAATATTAATTATTATAATAAATAAAAATTTAAATATATGTTATTATTTAGGTCAGTACAGATATTTAATTTTACATGAATCTATGACCGTTAGTGATTGGTTATATATATCTTTGTGGGATTTAATTTTCGTTTTGTTGTCAATATATAATAATAACCATAAAAAATTTAAGGACCAGTTTTACAATGCAGACTTATGTTAAGTAACTCTTAAATTTTGTAAGTGAGAAGTGTCTTAAGTAACTCTCAAGATGTTTGACAATAAATTTTTACATGAAATTCAAATAAATATCATTTAATGTCAAATCGACACTTAAATTTACATACCATAATAAACACTCAAGTGATATTTTTTTATGAATTACCTGTTTTGCTTCCAATGGATTAAACCAAGATGGTGAGTCAGTTTCTTGTTTATTTTCGCTTCGTAAACCAAAGAAAAACGCGCCGTGCGACGGGTGAAACTTAGCATTAGCTGGTAGTGAACTTCTGGCAAGCTTAAGTAGCTTTGCTTCTCTTGATTCTACTTCATGCACCATAGGTATAAGTTCCGAATTATAAAACAATTCGTTGTATACATTAAGTATAGATGGCAATGCACGATAACTGTATAGTAGCTTTGTTACTAATCGTGGATCAAAGCCCGAAGTAGATGGAAATCGCGCTATATCACGCACATATGGCGTGTGTGCTAATATACGTATCAGAAATGATCGCGCTAGACCAGAAACATTTGATAAACGATTTATAACAATTGGTTGAAGTTGATTTGGATCACCAGCAAGTATAACCTGTCCTTTACCCTTGGAAATCTGGGCAATCGGAATCATAACTTCAGGCTCAGTACACTGGCCTGCTTCATCAATAATCACATGTGTGAAATGATCATTGCCAAAATCCATTTGCATGAAATTACCGAGTGTTGTACATGTGCTAACGGTAATCTTATGGCGTCCAAGAAATTTTTGCTGACATCTCAACTTTAATCCACTTTCTGTAGTAACCATCTAAAACAAAAAACCATAAATATTAAAAAACCTTAAATAAAATGCAATTCTTCTATTTATATATACCGCACTCTCGCATGTGCCATCTATGCCAATATCTGCGGTGGCACAATAACGCAGCAGTTCATCAGGTATAAGTTCCTTTTCAATTATGTTCTGTGACACCAATCGAACAAAATCGCCAGGTTCCAACGCATTACTTTCAACTAAGCGCGTTGCTATAATATCAGCTGAACTGTTAGATGGAGTGCCTACTAATATGCGTGCATGTGGTATCAGCTTAATAATTTGTATGATTGTTTCAATGAGTGTTACAGTTTTGCCTGTACCAGGAGGTCCAAAGATTATGTATGGCATGTTATAGGCCTCCCCACGTAAAATATTGTAAACCGCACGTTTCTGTATGCTATTTAATTTGGTGTTGACCCAGTCGTGTTTTTTACCTTCCAAAATTAAATCATCATCTGCATTTAAGTTAATTGCTAATTGTGCATTTGGACGTGTCTTAATACGAGTTGGAAATAGAAAGTCTTCTCCCAAGTGGGTAACTGCTTTAACGATACTATGATGTTGCTTACGAAAGCCATATCGAGAAAAAAAGAATTCTAGCCGGTAATCTTCACCGTTATAGTTGTTTTGAAAGGAAGCATTAAATTTTAAGTATATACGATCGAAGAGGACTTTATGAATGCTTCCTTCATACGTACGCGCTGTTGGTTCACCTAGCTCCCAAGGATTTGAAGCATGTACCGTGTCTCCAAGTACAAGTGATGGACGACGTTCAGCTAAATTTTCTATAACTAACGATAGATATTCTCCAACACGAGTGAAATGTGCACGCTCCATATCATAATTGCGGAATGTAACAAAATATTCAATTTCTTCCAAATGCAATAGCACTTGGAATTTAGTTACATAATTTCGTGCTGTCAGTTCTTCTTTAACACTCGGAAAATACGTTTCAACACCATCGGTCATATCGTTTTTTGACCTTGATGTAAGATATGCCTCTTTCAATCGTTTAGGTACGTCATATGGCGGAATACGATGCTTTATAAACCGTCTTTTGGGACCTATACCGACACCCGAAACAAGTTCACATTTTCGTCCCCAAACCGAATGAGCATAAAATCGTGAGCGATGTGATGATGAGCGTCCATTTGCCATTGGTACAGGTAATTCAAGAACACGTTGTCGATATTCCGCTGCCTCTTCCTCACTTCCACATACGGTAAGATTAATGGAACGTTTAATACGAAATCCATGAAACTGAATTAAAAAGAATTCGTGTGAATTACCAAAAACCAAAGATTCACATTCGAATCGCAATGGTACACTACTACGCGATTTTATGTCGAATCCTTTACACAAGTCTTTATCAATAAGTTTTATTTGGATTTGTCTTTTACCAAAGAATTCTATAGCCAACACTTTTAGTACTTCATCTGTGTTGTTTTCAATTGTAAATTCTACAGTCACTTTTTGGTGTAAACCTGAGAATACATGACGCACATCACTTGATACTTTTACAACTTGTGATTCCATTGACTTTTCAAAGGCTTTCGTATCGCTGTAAGCCATATCTTCAGTTTCAAATTTAATACACCGCCACACGAAATTGCCCTAAAAAAGAAAAACAATATTTCAATAACAATTTTAAAGAGTAGGATTAAAAGAAATAGCGAGAGGGAAATAAGTAAAGAGATGTAGAGAGACAGAAAAGAAATAGTGAAAGGATATATGAAGAGAGAGCGAGAGAGTGAAGGGATAAAGGAAGAAAGAGAAAGCAAAAAGGATAGCGGGAGAGAGAAAAACAGAGAGGGGGAGAAAAAAGAGGGAGGGGCAGAAAAAAAGAGAGGGAATGATAAAAATTAGAGAAAGAGAGGGAGAAAAAATAGAGAGAGAGAGAGAGGGAGAAAAAATAGAGAGAGAGAGAGAGGGAGAAAAAATAGAGAGAGAGAGAGAGAGAGGGAGAGAAAATAGAGAGAGGGAGAAAGAAAAAATAGAGAGGGAGAAAGAAAAAATAGAGAGGGAAAGAGAAAAAATAGAGAAGAGAGAGAAAAAGAGATAAAGGAAAAGAGAGAGGGAGAGAAAAAGGAGGTAAAAATAAGGAAAGAATTACAAAGGGAGAGAGTTAGAAAGAGAGAGGGAGTGAGAAAATAAAGAAAGTTGAAGTGTAAAAAAGAGTAAGAATGATAATGAAAGAAAGGAACGAATTACAAATGGAGAGAGTAATATAAAGAGAGGGAGTGAGAATAAGAAAGGGAGTATGAGAAAAAAAAAGTTTAAAAAAAGAGCGTGAGAAAGAGAGAAATGTTTTTAAATTTAATATATAGTATGAATAAAATGAGTGCTTAGAAAACAGTGCTCTAAAATTAAATTTTAATAAAAATAAAACATATAATGGTTGAACATGAATTATTAATATGATTTAATTATTGCTTACCCTTTCACATTCTACCATATCTGCTATAATAGAATCGCCGATACGCAGTTTAGAGGCTTCAGGAGATACATCAAAGATTAAATAACAATCTCTATTTAAGACAGCCCAACCTTCCTTTATTTTGGTTACAGTACAGCGTTGTTTTTTTAATAAACGTGCTGGATGAACAGCGATTTCTTCCAATATTTCCCCTTGTTTGTCCAAAAATTTATCGTCGTTTTGAACGTTACAATGAACAAGAACACGATCACCTTCCTGTGGCACAAAACTAATTTCAACTGATTCCAAAGTTATAGTCATAACTTTATAGTCAGTATCAACAACGATAGAATCTGGTGCACGTTCCACTATCAAACCCAAAATATTGCGTTGATGTACTGCGAAATAATCTGGTTTCTCTAATTTAAGTTGATCAACCTGCTTCCTGAGCTGCAATATTTAAGCTTGTTTAAATATAAAATTAAAAACAATACTTTTTAATACTACTTACAGTTTCTTCATCTATATTTCCAGACTCATCCCAGCAATTTTCCAAAACTTCTGTTATTTTAAAAACTTTAACCGGCCCTTCCTCATCTTTGTACGCCATATAACGCACACGGGATCCAACTCGAAGTTCACAACCCAAACCACCTCCAACGGATGTATCAAAAATAATATTATTATCTAGGATCCCATGATCATCTTTCAACAAAGTGATAATACCTATAAGAGAAATATTTATAATCAACAATTAGAAAAAATGTGTATATAACCAATGAATATATATTTTATTGAAATAAATTTATTTCAATATTCAATTTTTCAAATACAAACGAAACCATTTTTTTGTTTATATGAAAAATATTTTAAATTGCTGCGCTACTATAGCCAGCGACTCTATATTGCGAGGGAATCAATAATTGGATCTAGCAACTTCTAGCGCGAGTCGGCCAACCACTGTAGGCAGCAACTTTACATTGCGCTGGGTCAACTAGTATAGACAGCAACTTGTATTAAGAGTATGCAAATACTAGGTCTGTTCCACGACCTACTCATAGTAACTTTGAGTAACACTGTCTATACACAAGTGCGTTCCACCAGCAAATTTTCGAGTGTTTTCGTGTAAATTTTACTTTTGTTTTACTATGACTAGCTTGTAGAACACACCTACTATATCTACCGAATGTTACTTAATATTGCGTTGAACATAACATTGTTTTTCTAAATAAAATTAGTTCTTTCACAGAAATATAAATACACTAAAAAAATTCATTTAAAATAATTATGAGTTACAAAATTATTATTGTTATTAATTAGCAAATAAAATGATATAAACGTTTTGAGTTTAAATTTACGTTCTAGAAGTATTCGAGCAACATGGCTGTCAGTTTATTTTTTACTTGTCAGCACTTTTTTTTAAATCACAAAAAAATTTTAAAACTTTTATCATAGTAATAAAATACTTACCGGTACCATTGTAATAATCACTCTTTTCGATTTTTTTTTCATCTTGGGCTTCATATAATGGCTTGACAATATTTTGACACTCTTGTTTGTAAATTATAGTTTCAAGCTGTTCAGTTTGCCTATTAAAATTGTCCCGTGCATTATCTGCGGGTTCGAAAGAATCCCAAATTTTCTTGAGTATTGTAAACATTTTGTTTTAGTTGTTGAATTTGAATTTGTTTATAAAAAGCAATTTATTTTTATTGAGACGGTTTTTTGTCCAAAGGCTCAAACATCCAATCTGTCTCGTTAATGTAAGTCAATTCTTTGCGTAAATTTTGAAGACGCTTCAAATAACTTTCCGTCGTGGTTATTTTAAAACCACACTCGGATATTATAAGTGAACGATATTTAGCAAATGTGCGATCTGATGTAGTATCAATAATTTTTCCCTGTATTTATTATACAAAATGAATATTATCAAATTTAATAAAAATTTAAAAATCTTACTTCAGTATTAGCAGACGAAGTTGGTAATTCTTCGTTTTGCTCATTCGACATTATTTATAACCACTACACTTCACAAAAAGTGAACTGCATAAAATCCGAATAGCGTTAATTGCAAAAATTTGTTGAGCGCGTAACTTTTTTTAATATTTGCGTATCACTTATTACAGCTTCACACAACACCTTCCGATAAAAAAAACGCAACCACCGGCTAACAATGCCGAATAACAAATGAAGACTTCAACCAAATGCTTGACTCTTATTAATAGTTAAAAATTCTAGTGTTGTAAATGATTTAAAATAAGTTAAAGAAGGTATACACATCATTAGGAACATTAATTCTTGGTGCGACGATACTTGCTGTCACTCAGTATTGCTTATTATTACTCCTATTTATCAATTGCCAAAACGTGCAAATTAGTTGTATTATAGATATATTTTATAACAATTTTTAAAATATAACGATAATAATTTTTTAATGTTAATTTTTTTGCCAAAAGCGACGCGTTTTCATTTTTATTGGAACCCTTCTAAGTTTTAAATAAATTTCCATGTGTAATTTTTTATATTTCCATTCTGTTTGTATAGAAAAATTACACTCAACCATGTATCAAGAAATTAATATATAAATGATATATTAAATAATTTATATATATATATTACATATTTGTTACACTACATATTCATTTAATAAAAACAAAGATTTTATTAAAAACTTGTTTTCTCAGTACGTTTGTTTACAGCTCAGCTGTTGTTTATTTACATTTTACATGTAACACATATAACAAATATTTTAAATTTTGGTCATTTCTCTGTTGGGAAATTTATTTTAAGGGTTGCTTTCGACATGTTTCGCTCTAAATAAGCTGATTTATTGATAATGAGTTAATTTTTATGAAATATTTTTGTATGGTAAATCATCCTAATTAATGGTTGTAATGAGCAAAAACATCTAAATAAGACAGTGTAAATGTGGTATAAGGTTATATACATTTTTTTTTGTTTTTGTCATTAAAATATAAATATTTGTTGACATCGAATTTGTAAAATAGTGAATAATGCCGCATTCACAAAATTTCTTTATTTACAAATTAAAATTATTTTATGAATTAATATTTAGGGGTATGCAGAATGTCTGTGCATCGTTACATATGCAAAATTATTTGATTTTACAAAAACAATTCCCTTTCTTATGATTTTCACTTGATTTGTAAGACAATATTCAAGACCAATTTTCAATACTAATTAGCTCTTGCATATGTGGTTTTCAAGACTCTATTGTGAATGATACTACTTTTTTTACTTTTTTTTACTTTAGCGAAAATATCAAGTTTTGTTGAAAATTGTTTGATTTTGTATTTTTTTATGTCCAATAAATTGCTACATTATACATATGAATGCATGAATCTAAATTATCCATTCATTCTGCAACAGCAAAATCCATCTGAGTTATATTTTACACGTAAATATATACAAAAACAAAAATCAACTGTTCTAAATATTTGTAAAACATATATGCACAAAATGCGTATTTGTTTTGCAATTATTTGAGTTTGCAATGATGCTCATTTAACGATGCACAGACATTCTGAATACCTTTTATATTTTTTTAATATTTTTGCATATATATATTGGTTATTCGAGTTTTTGTATATTTATCAACTTTATCAGGTTTTTTTATTTATTTATTATAATTTTATATATATATATTATATATTAATATTTTACAATAATTTGTTACATACATTTTATACATTTTTTAAAAAATAATAAAATTAGAATACAATACAAACTGATTGAAGTTGTGAACTATATATGATAAGGGAGATTTACTCAAATCCCTTTTCAGCATTTTACAACACTA